AACCTTTCTCCAAAATGTTCTCCTTTTGTGAAAAATGCTTCTATTATAATAATATTTTGCTTGTATATAACTCAGACCTCTGTAGAGAGGGTCAACCATGATTTTAGAAAAAATTCACATTATTTTCAGAGTTGCCACCAACTGAAATAATTATCGGCGTTTTTTTCTTAAAATTTCTCCCTTCTGTTGTGGTAAAACATGGATAACCCCACTTCTAAGTTATATATTTCAAAAATTCTAGTTGAGCCTCTGTACAGAGGTCTGAGCTATATACAGACAAAATATTATAATAGAAGTATTTTTCACAAAAGGAGAATAGTTTGAAAATGGGTCATTCTATGTTAATTTTTTGTCAAAATATTGCATTTAAATAATTTTTTATTGTAATACTATTCTCAAAACAATTTTATATACATTTTCTAATCCAAGTGACACTAAATATCATAAATTGTATCTATGTGATGTTCCTCCCCTTGGAAGAACATCTCTCGAAGCATCAGCGTGAGGTGTAGGATTAGCGAAAGAACTAGTGTCAAACATTATCTTAATATGACTTTATTAAGATATTCAACTTAAACCTTTAACAAATTAAATTATAATAATTAATATGAGAGAGAATCTACGATGGTAAAATACGCAATACACAATATATATGTATATAATAAGACGTAATCTAATTCAGACCAATATCAATAAGTGAACCGCTTAATCTCCGATTCTAATATTAAATAATCAATCCTATCTTATTAGTGCTTGGAGAAATGATCAATCTTGTTCTATACTTAATCTGGTCTTTGTATGTGCTGGTGTGCAATTTGGCCGTTTCTTATATTCGATTTCTAATAACTTATATTCACGTCACGCAAAACTCATTCAGACTTGAACCACGAACTATAATAACCATCAACTGGCACAAACTAACTTCAATTGTCAAATATTACCTTACATTGCCATATCGCTTACTCTAAGATCCGATATTTAAAAGTTTGTTCATTTGCATCTTTTATTCACGCTTCACTTCCTGGATTTGGTTGGAAAAAAGTTGCCATTAATTCTGGCCCAAAGTACCCAAAGGACTTGTTAAAGAAAAGACGCGTGAGACGTCACATTTATTTATACGCTTTTACAAAATCACGGTTCCGGACGTAGTCGGATACCTTAAAAGGGTCTGTTTGAGTAGGAGGTGGGCAATTAATTGGGTTTGGGAACCACATCGGGGGAGCGGAGGATAGCATAGGTGATTGCATTTATATATCAATGAACTTCGCATCTCTGAAAATGTTTTAACTGTATTATAAGAATCAAAAAATCTAAATTAAAGTAGTGACAGTTTGACTTAATTAATTAACTATGATAATTTCATATCTTTAGCTGTAAGCATATTTAATGTTAAAATCAATTTAATGAGACAAAAGTACCCTATCATACTTTTTTACAGTTGTTTTGAAATCAGGAGTGAGATCCTTAATTGAAATTCACATCATAGCCAGCAAATTAATGTCAGCCAACTTGCATCTATGTTTACTCCTTTTAATACTCATGCGAGAAAAGACAAATGCACTGCTTTGCAATTAATAAGGAACAGTTACCTTTTTCGGAATAATTAAGAATAGACAATGATTGAAGAAGTGAAACTAAGCACATATTTAGTTGGGACGTTGTGCATTTATTATAGTGTAAAATGGACTAAAAACTTTAAAAAATGCCCCTTTGATGATTTACAAACAGCCATAAAAAATTAATCTTCAGGTCAGAATGATACAGGCATGAGTACCTTAATACGATGTGTGTTGGCTACGGACACCAACGCACATTTTGGATCGGTTCTCCATGCTCTTCACTAAACTATAGAGGCGTCTTTGGGGGATATTGTCCCACTCATCTCTGAAAGCGGTTTTGAATTCTTGCACTACACGGGAAGGGATGGTACTTTGTGCAACACATCTGCCAAATTCACCCCAGGCATATTCAATAGGATTAAGTCGAGAGAGTAAGCAGGCCATTGCATACAAAGAATATTTTCCCTTTGCAATGTATCCGATACCTCAACGCTTCTGTGTGGCCGGGCGTTATCATCCATAAAAAGAAAGTCTGAACCTACAGCTCCCCTAAAAATACTAACATGATCCAGAATAATGTCTCTGCAATACTATTGCAATATAATACTTCCTCGCTCAAAGATGTTAAGCAGTTTTTTTTACCATTCTGCATGATGCCTAACCCACACCATCACGCCTAGGCCGTACCGATCATTTTCACAAATTTTTACGCGTAACATGTTCCACGCTCTCTACACAATAATTGGTGGCCACAATCACTTGTCGCACTGAAACGAGATACGTCGGAGAACATCACTCCAGATCAAATTTTGGTGATCCCAACCAACATGTTCTCTTGCACCAGCGTAATCTCTCTCGAGGATGGCGTGGTTGAAGTGGGATGAATTCAACCGATTTCCGTGGATACAAATCAACTTGATGTAATCGTGAAACATGCGTTCCGAAAGCGGTTGCAAGGTTTGTAGCTATCTGGACAGGAGTGAAATTTCTGTTCCTTTTTCCCACGAGGGCTACATAGCGATCCTGTAAATGTGTGGTGTTCGTACCACAATCCCCGGTATGCTTTCACAAAGCATTTCCACCTTCAGCGGCTTTATTTAATTGAGATATGACTCTCCTCAATACATTCATTGCAGCAGCAACAGTGGTGATTGACCTTCTTCCAGTCGTCCAACTGCTCGTCCGCTATCGCAGTCATTCAATGTGTGATGTACCTCCCCTTGGAAATACATCTCTCTAAGCATCAGCGTGAGCAAGAGGTGTAGGATTAACGAAAGAACTAGTGTCAAACATTATCTTAATATGACTTTATTAAGATATTCAACTTAAACCTTTAACAAATTTAATTATAATAATTAATATGAAAGAATCTACGATGACGCAATACGCAACACACAATATATATTTATAATAAGATCTAATCCAATTCAGACCAATATCAATAAGCGAACCACCTAATCCTCGATTCTAATATTAAGTAATCAATCCTACCTTATTATATCTTGTAATAGCACTTGTCTTTATCTGCAATTTGATGCAGCTTTACGGCTAACTTCTAGTCGAACACCAATATATATATCCACGTCACACAGACTTTATTCAATCTTTAATCGCGATCTGTAATAATCATCAACGGCCACAACGCACATCAATTGTCTAACATTATTTTACATTGCCATCCCGATTACTCTAAGATCCGATATTTAAAGTCCGTTTATTTGCATTTCTTATTCACATCTCATTTCTTGGATTTGGTTGGAAATTAGTTGCCATTAATTCTGGCCAAAGAACCCAAAGGACTTGTTAAAGAAAAGACGCGTAAGACGTCACAAATGTCTTGCTGACATTTTGCTTATATTTAATTCAAGAACCAAACAGAGTTTCAGAGAAAAAATTTTATAAGAGATCCAACACTATTTTCGTCAAACATCAAAACAGGATGCATTTTCGAATGAATCAGGATCTTCTATGTATTGTCTTTTGTACATATAACAAGTCCTGGTCTATCACGCCCTCTGAACTTGAATTTACTTTTCTTGGTCAGCTATTTGAGACGCAATTTTACATAAATCACTTGTTCCTCAGGAATTGTCAAGCAGTGTATATGTTTACCCAAGTATTAGAGAGCATTTTCTGTCTATTTGGTTTTGGGACTCTTTTGGCGGGCCGCGCTATTTCCCCACTCCTGTGCTAAAGAGATCTATTATTAAGGATTAGAATTAGAAAAGAGTTAACTCATTATTTTTCACACATAAAATAAATCGCAGCTGTATTTTCTTCGTAAAATTTATTTACAAAATAAATCACAGTGAAATTACATATTTCATTAAAAAATAATGCATCTTTATTAAATGTATATGTTCAAAATTTTAAATAACAGTTGTTATATGTTTAAAAAACTATCCGAAGTTTATATCATAATTTAGTAAGTACACAGGAAATTAATTCTCTCAGAGAAAATGGATGGAGTTCGACGAAATATTACGCTAGACTAGTTTATGCTTTCATCCTTAATTTTTCGAGGGTAATAATAATAATAACAATAGTAATAATAATAATGATAATTAAATGGAACTGAGTTTCAAATTCCTCATATGGTAGTCTGGTATTATTTTATCACTTGGGCATTGGCTCTAAATTATGATTACCATCATATCTTGTTGCTCTAGCTTGGCGAGTTTTTAAATTCTTCTGCATATTTTTTCCAGATGCCGCGATATAAGCGAACTGAGTTCGACGAAGAAGAAACCAGCAGCATGGCAAGCATGGCCGTCGATGCCCCCATGGTCGTGAATCCCACGAGTGGATTTTCCCGGACAGATGGGACCCAGGTCCGGTATTCTCCTGGTAGGAAGCGCAATTTTTGGGAAAGAGCATCGCCCATGGAGAAGTTTCTTATGGTCTTAGCACTCATCTTGCTCTTACTCGTCGTCATCCTTTCCGCTGTTTTGAATTCGTATTCTGGTTCACAGCCAGTCAAGGTGGTGCATATATCTTCTACTAATGGATCCACCAGTGTCCAAACAAATGGTAAGACTTTTTGTTGGATGCATTTTTTCAAATAAATTTATTCGGATTCCTTTCGATAATTAACATTTGTGTTAAGGGGACATGGTACGATTTAGGCAAAAATTTGTAAGAGGTCTCAGGAATGTTGAATTTCTCTAGAGGTCTGAAAAGGTAAACAATTTTCAAATAGGTATAATTCTTTTAAATTTAAATTAAATAATTCGAATCTTTTACACATTATTTATAAAGGAATGGGGCTTCAGAAAAATATAAAATGTTTAAAATATAATCATAATTTTTAAAATTATAAGCATATGAAAATAAGAAACTTCTATAAGAAATATTTATTAAGTTTTACGTCACGCATGCTGTTTTCTAAAATAGTAGCTTTAATGACCAGCTATAAGTTGATATAGAGTTAAATGTCGACCAGCCAGTATAGTGGTAAGTCCCTCGGCTTGTAACCGAGTGGGTTCGGGTTCGAATCCCTAGTAAGACATGGTTGTATCTTCTTCGGGAAAGAAGTCGGTCTTTCGCCTGAAATGGAATTTCCGTCTCGAAAGGAAAAGCAACGCACCGCTTGTTATATGCTGGGATCATTGTTTGTAATAAAATCTGTATTCTTCTGTGGTTGTGTTATATGTTTCTGTTCATTTATCTCACGTCTTTCGTATGTATCCCAGTAATAAACAGACGACAACAACATAAAAGTTAAATGTATTCTTATTACACTGTAGCTATTTTTATATAAATAGAATAATAACTTGCATATTTTAATAAATAAAAAAAATACATTTTTAAAAATATTTAAAAACTTGCAATATTTTACAAATATTTTGAGATACAATATATATATATATAATACTAAAAGTATTAGGTAGGGTTTAAAGAGTATGATGCATTTTATAATTCTATAAAGTTTTATACATCAGAGGCTACTATTTTAGATAATAGCGTGTGCAACGCAAAAAATAATATTTATTATAGAATATTCATATGCTTATGATTTTTAAAATTATTATTATATTTTAAACATTTTATACTTTTTTGAAGCCCCATTCTTTTATAAATAATGTGTAAAAGATTCGAATCATTTAGTTTAAATTTAAAAGAATTATACCTGTTTGAAAATTGTTTATATTTTCAGACCTCTAGAGAAATTTAACACCCATGAGATCTCTTAATTTAAGAATTGAAAATTTTTTTTTCGTGGCCTCATATGTGTATATACTATGTAAAACAGATTTTGTGCTCAAAATTTCGTAAAAAGTTACCCATTAAATTTTTTAAGGAAAAAAAAACTGTGAAGTGATTTTAAAATGTTACTCCTCCCCTACAAAAATTTACGTACACGCACGAAATTTGATTTACAAATTCATCAAACTATGTATAACAAAAGCTGGTATAGGTTTTGTGATAACATGATTGATATTTGTACAACACTTCTTTTTATGAATGCTTATTGAAAATTCCTTAAAAAATGTATAAATTACGAGTTCAATTATTTTTTTAAAAAATAAGTATTGATTTAATTCGAAAATACATACCAACTTTTCTTTTCTTTATGTACTGTTAGCAATATGTAAAAAAAATTCAAAGCATTTTTTTAGGAACAATAGAAAAAAAGTCTTACCATTTTAAATGAAGGCAAACTAGTTTTTTTCTTTCTGAGATAAATAAGTTTTAAGCTTCGATTTGCCAAGGAAATGTAAATACAAACGAACGTAAAAACTATAATAATTCTGCGTTTTTAAGTTTAAAGATTTCAAACTTAGTGAGGTTATAGAAAAGTATATAAAGAATAATTTAGGCTAAAAAAATTAGATTTGATGTTTTGACCGATTTCTGTCAATTGAATTGTACTGTGTCCCCTTAAATTGAAGAATTAAGAAATATATATTAATTGTTATGTGTAAAACATTGGAATGGCAATATGTAACCTTAGTTATAATTGATCTATTCGCATAGTTTATTTTGATAACTTCTCCATGGATTTTAATATCTTTTTTTAGTATTCTTCAATTAGGTAAGCATGTTTAGTGCAAAACTTTTCAAACTGGTAGAATTTTTTTTTCTGAACATAAAACAAAATGACATCTTACCTGAATGTATATTATCGAGCAATCTCTCATTAACCTTTTCACGAGTATGAGATACTCTTTCCTTCTTTTAAAATCGGTGATTGACTTATTTAATTAAAACCTTATCTGCACTTTTTATACAGAACAACAAAAAGAAAGTATGTCGAACGCAATTACGTAAACGGAAACGCTTAGGGTGGAAAAAAGAAAGAACTGTCAAATCAATTGGCACTAATGATAAAACATTCTCGGGCTGAACTCTGTTATCATACCAGTTTATTATGTCGTGCAATCAGTGGCGTGATGTACACCCCCACATAGCGGGGGGGGGCAGGATTCTAAGGGGCACAAAGCCTGACTAACATTAAGCTAAGGTGCCTTAATAATCTCCTTTACTCTAATGTGCGTAATAATATATTACTGCGTGTTATCTTATATTATTCGGCAAGTATAATTTTGTGCAATGATAAAGTATATTTCAACCAATGAAAACAAAAACCTGACGATAACAAGTAGAATAGTTAAGAAAGTTAGATCGTGTTAGGATAATTCTATTCTATTCCCATAAAACTAAAAAAAATCATACACATTGTTGTACACTTTTCTTATGTTTTTTTAAAAATTATTATTTACTTTATATATGAACAAATTTAAAAAAAAACAGTTACATACTAATATTTACTCTTAGGAACATTTTGGTCCGGTAAGGATTAGTATACAATATTATTAATATGTATAAAAATGCATGCATTATTTTTAGATTGTGTATACAATCGGACCTCTATTTAACGAAGTCACTAAATCCCGAGAAAAAGTTCGTTATATGGAAAATTCGCTATATAGAGGTTAACCTTTCAAAATACTTTATAAACCAAATAAAACAAATATTTTAAGTTAATAAAAACTATATATTGATAAAGTAATTATTCATACTTTTTTGTAAGTTAATATCTATTTATTCTATATATATCTTACCCATCAAAAGAAGAAAAAGAAAAACTGCCGGGAAAACAAGAAAAAGAAATGTCGAGGAAATACCCTGTATTTTCAACATTAAGAAGATATTTTTATATTAAAATTAATCAATTTTAAGAGATTAAAATTAATCAGTTTTAAGAGAGAGAGAGAGAGAGAGAGAGGATATTTTCTAATTTAAAATATACAAGCAATTTTAAACCCACATTATTTTATAACTAAACTACTAGAATGTGTTAAAAGATAATAACTTGAAATATCCAGAAATATTTTAAAAATAGGGAGAAAAAAAATTGAATCACAAGAGAAAAAGTTTGTCAAATAGAAAATGCACTCCGCTATTGGGAGATTATTTTACGAAGTAAATCGTGAAATGCTCTTGGTTCCAGAAAAAAGTTCACAATATAGAGGTTCGTAATATGGAGGTTCGACTGTATTTCGAATTCTCCATATAGGGCTTCTGGATACTGATATACAGTTGAACCTCTAATTAGCGAAGTCGATAAATCTCGAAAAAAGTTCATTATGTGGAAAATTCGTTAAATAGAGGTTAATTTAAAAACCACATAAAAATTTTTAAATTTATTAACACTGTATATTACTTGAAAAAGTAATTATATATCCACCTTTTTTTTAAAAATTAATATATATTTATTTTTGCCTAATGACCTGATGGTCAATGGCCTGGCATTTGTAAAATATATATTTATTTCATATATCTCTTCCATCAAAAAGAAATCTGCAAGGAGAGCAAGAGGGGAAATCATTGTCCAAGAATACTCTGCATTTTCTACTGGAAAAATAATTTTATTTTGAAATTAAGGAGCTTTTTTTATCCGGGTCCCGGGCCCCTGGGGCCCCGTCTAAAGCGCCTAATGTATAAACCGTCACTGACATGCATCCTTAAGTTTAATTACTGATCAAATCTGTTAATTTTATTTGAGTTTGTTTGAAAAGTTACTGCAAAATTTAATTGCTTTAGGTTAGTTAGGACCCTGGTAAAACTAGTTCAAGGTCATTGATCACCGTAGAATCTGCCAAGAGAAAGAAAATTCGAAAAATGTTCTGAAATATTTTAAAAATGGGAAGAAAAAAAATCGAATCATATGAGAAAAAGTTGATTAGATAAAAAATGCACTTCACTATTCGAAGGTTATTTTACGAAGAAAATAGTAAAACCTTCTTGGTTCCAGAAAAAAGTTCACACAACAGAGAAATTTGCAATATAGAAGTTCCTTATATGAAGGTTCGACTGTACTCCTATAATGTTCTTGTTCGGTATTATGCCATATGGCTTCTAGTATTCGTAGTCTTAGCGCAGAAAAGAAATACGTATTTTAAATTGTGGTTGATGTTTGATGTTAGAACAGCTTTTGCTTGCGCTGCTGAAACCTATATTGAAAAGTCTTCTGGGAACTAATTTGATATCGGGTGTAAGATCGTGCCTAGGCAGGCAGCCTTTGCTATACCTGGAATGGAATGCAATATGGCGGCCTAACGGGAATTTAATGATACGCAATAATTTTAAAGATTTGTTTTGAAATACATTGAAATGTATTTCAAATAAAGGATATAGGAAGATATTGTGAATAACCTAGATCAATCAATAAATAATGAATATCAATAATGTGTAACAAAAAGTATCATGTAGTAATAATAGTATTATAAGCAGCATATAATAATCTTATGTTATTTTATCGTAATTATGTATAATATATTCATATAGTACAATTTAACACCAGTTATTAGAAATAATAATCATATAATATAATTTAATAGTAATTATAAAAAATAATAAGCGTCGTATTGTAAAATAATAATAATGCATGATTACTCGTATTACATAATTATAAATAAATAACATAATAGCTATAAATAAACGAAAAAAATAGTTATAAATAAATAACATAATTATAAATAAATAACAATAATTAATAAATAATTAAGAATATTAATTATAAATAAATAAGAAAATATGTAACATGAATAAAAAATATTAAAAGAAACAATTATAAGTAACGAATGTTAGATGATTATTAAAAAGTAATAATTGCATTTTTGTATTAATTATGAATAAAATAATTACATAACGTATGTGAAAATTAATTAAGAATTCTAAGTACAAAGCAGTGAAAGCTTGCAATATGAAACTTGCACTGCAAGTTCCTTCAACGAATTACATCGAACAAAGAACGAAAAAGAACATTTTTAAAACGTAAAATAAAACGAAAATAAAAGATTTATAGCGATAATTGAAAGCACAACACTTTATTCTTCTGGGAAAAAATATTCTAGTACTCACTCATTTTAGAAATATCCATATTCGAAAATAGCACATAATTAAACACAAGACGCAAACAGTAAAAAAATTACTCTGAAAATGGTTAAATTTTTACAGAAATTAGAATTTTTTTAAATCGTCTGAAATTAATAGGGTTACAGC